TGGCACCTGAGAAATGACCCTGGAGGTTGTGCATCCACATACCTGCATGCACACACGTGTGCACACAAAGGCATGCACACCAGCACACCTATGTGCACACACACACACACACACACACACACACACACACACACACACACACACACACACACACACACACACACAAACCAAAGCAGACCAAAAACAAAACAAAAAAACCCAAAACAAAACAAAAAGTGGGTCTTAAACTGAAGGAACCAGGACAAGAGAGAACACATAAGAAAACCAGCTTCCCAGAACTGCTCTCTGCAAGAAAGAGAAAGCCCACAGTCTGGACCATGGTGACAGCTACTGTGGAGAACAAGGCAGGGGCGCTCCCGGGACCTGCCCCCGTGAAGAAGGAGAGTGGCGAAGAGCCTGCCCAGGCCTGTGGCTGCCCCGGGCTCAGGAGCAAAGGGTTCCTCAAATTCAGTGACAGATAAGCAGGGCTCGGTAATAGGATTAAACTGCAAGTGTTACAGGTGACGGGGACGAGCCCATTCTTGTTATCGTGAGAGCCGGCCTCGTCCTCATCCAGCAGGCAGAGCTTTGCCTGTACTGTTCCCGACAGGGCACAAAGGAACACTCCAGTTTGTTCTCTTGCCCTGGGTGGATCTGCAGACTGCTGGAAACAATGGCTCTATCCTTGGTTGGTTGGTTGCTCTTTGTGGTGTTGAGGGTTGGACCCAGGGCCTCCCATGTGCTAGGCAAGTGTTCTACCATTGAGCTGTGTCCCCAGCTCTCTTTTTATTTTTCATTTTGAGACAAGGTTTAGTTAAGTTGCCCAGGCTGACCTAGAACTCTTTATGTAGCCTAGGTTGGCTTTGAACTAAGGATCTTGGATCATGAGCAGACTAATCGGAATCTTAAGACAGTACTGAAAATGTCAGACGGGAGAAGGTTATATGCTCTCATCCCCCTGCTCCCACTTTTAACGTTGACCTTTTGACCCTTTGAATGTAGCCACTTGCTACTTTTCTGGGGTGGGGAGGGAATCACCATCCAATATGTTCTGCACCTCTGTAGACAGCCCCTGGGGAACCAGTGAAGTACAGGACCCCAGCTTTGCAGGCAGGGAGACCAAGACTCACAGAGATAAATACTGATGTGCAAGAGTAAGCAGTCAAGGCGAAGGTAGGGGACTCAGTAATGTTCTAGGATCCCACTGATGGAGGAACCCCAGAAAGTGAAAGCGTTCAAGATAGGCAGGCTTGCTGGGCAGTGGTGGCACACGCCTTTAATCCCAGCACTTGGGAGGCAGAGCCAGGTGGATCTCTGTGAGTTCGAGGCCAGCCTGGGTTACAGAGTGAGTTCCAGGACAGGCACCAAAACTACACATAGAAACCCTGTCTTGAAAAAACAAAACAAAATGATAGGCAGGCTTGTGCACACCTGTAATCCCAGCATTTGAGAGGCAGAAACAGGAGGATTGCTGTAAGTTCAAGGCCAGCTTGGGCTATACAGAGAAATGTTAGTCCCAAAACACAATGACAGGGCTGAGGAGATGGCTCGGTCAGTAGAATGTTCTCTGTGAAAGCATGGGGACCTGCGTTTGATACCCAGCCAGTGCCAAATAAAAGTTGACAGTGGTGGCTGGCCTGTGTCTGCAATCCTAGTGTGGTGGTCTGAAAGAAAATGGCCCCCAAAGGTAGTGACACTATTGGGAGGTGTGACTTAGTTAGAGTGGGTGTGGCCTTGTTGGAGGAAGTGTGTCACTGTGGAGGTGGGCTTTGAGGTCTCAAATATGCTTAAGCCACATCCAATGTCTCAGGTCACTTCCCGTTGCCTGCAAATCAAGATGTAGGACTCCTTCTCCAGCACCATGTCTGCCTGCACGCCACCGTGTCACACCGTGATGATAATGGACTGAACCTCTGAAACTGTAAACCCCCCAATTAAATGGTTTTTCCTTTCTAAGAGTTGCCGTGCTTGTGGCAATAGGAACCCTAACGAAGACATTCATCCTACCCATAACCCCAGCTCTGGGGAGACAGACGTGGGTGGTGCTTCCTGGCCAGCTAGTCTAGCTGAATCAGCAAGCTCCAGGCCAACAAGAGACCATGCCTCAGACATCAAGGTGGAGAACAATTGAGGAAAATAGCTGAGGTCGACTTCTGGCCTCCACATGGACATGTGTGTGAACACATATATAATCCATTCGAATCTCCAGGTGTGGTCATGCACGCCTGTAATCCCAGCACTCGGGAGGCAGAGGCAGGAGGATCAAGAGTTCAAAGTGGCCAACCTGGCCTATATATGAGACCTTGTCTCAACAACAACAACAAAAAAAGACATTCAAGCCTCTAGGAGAAGGTGGACCTTGAAGGATGAGTTAGCTGTAAGGAATTCAGGCAGGTCAGAGATGTGGAGCAGGACCATTCTACATGATTCGTCCTTGAGGGACAGTGAAGGGACAAGTTAGCTGGAGGGGGACAGCAAGTCACACCAATCACTGGCTTCTGAGTCAATGAAAATTAGAGTGAGATTTTTCCAAGATTCAGAAGAAGCCTGCACACATCTGCCAGGGTGTAACATGGATTCGTGATGCCACAGTGATCTGCCAGGATTGGGGGTGGGGGTGGGGCTTCGGCCACTGGAATTGTCTTTCATCATTGTGCAATTGGAGCCAAGGGAGAGGCACACTATTTACCATTTGTTTGTTTGTTTGTTTGGAGTCAGGTAGTCTAGGACTGTGTAGCTCAGGCTGGCCTTGACCTTTCGGCAGCCCTCCTCCCTCTAAATTCAGACAGCCAGGATTATAGATGTATATTATCATGCTTAGCTCTAGGGCAAACTTTTTAAGTTTAATTTATTGAGATTGGGTCTTACTATGTTGACCAGTCTGGCTTCAGATCCACAGAAACGTACCTGCTTCTGCTTCCCGAGTGCCTGCCTTCAAAGGCTGACTTTATAAAGCACTTCACTCTTTATGGCCTCAAGCTGAGATGGTCTTATCTTCTTACTCTTTGTTCCTCCCTCTTCCATTTCCTGCACACCGCCAGATGTCAAGGAGAGATCTGTGGTCACTGTGAGTTGGGGTTGGGTTGTCAACCTGGGCCATTTGCCTTGTTCCCCAGGGTGCATGCATATGAGTAGAGTGAAAGGCAGGGGGGCCGTGCTGGTGTTCCCTGGTCTAAGATGCAGAGGTCTCTGGAGCCAGCTGTGACACTGTGCCGTGTGACTGTGGGCTGCAGCTGTCATGCCTGTTTCTCCTCCGTTTCATTGGCTGGTAAAATGGAGATGGTGAATACCCCTCCCCTCCCCTCCCTCCCTCCCTCCCTTTCTATCTCATCATTTTCTTGAGGATCAAATAAAATGTGGCGGGGACTGGGGAGATAGCTTAGTCTATAAAGTAAGTGTTTGTCTTATGAGCATGAGGACCTGAATTTGACCCCCAGCACCCGGGTAAAAAGCAAGGTATGGTAGTGTGTACTTATCAGCTCAGCACTGAGGAGGTCAAGACAGGCAGATCCCTGGGGCTCACTGGCTAGCCAGCCTAGCTTAACTGACGAGCCCCAGACTACTGAGAGAACCTGTCTCAAAAAACCAAGGAGGGTGACTCTTGAAGAATGAACTCAGCGCCCTCGTGTGTGTGTGTGTGTGTGTGTGTGTGTGTGTGTGTGTGTGTGTGTGTGTGTGTGTGTGCTATTTTGAGGGTGAAGATTTACTGGTTATATAGTTCAGTCTATGAAATCTGCATGGGAGTGATGCAGGAAATTTTAGAAATCCTCATCTGCCTCATGACTGCATTACATTGCATCATATCATTACAAGAAGTTTAATTGTATGACCTCCTTAGACGCTTTAATAGCCTTCCTTCTAATGGTACTTTTTCTTCCCTAGATGTCCCTGAGTTCCCATCCAACAGTTCCAGTTCGTCTCGCCTGGCCTCTTCATCTGCCAGCGGGACCCTCAGATCCTGAAGCAGCAGCTACGATTCTCATGGAGCACTTTCCGAAACACCCTGGGCTTCAGTCATCCCCCTCAGGGGCGCCAGAGTTGAAGCTGACTTAAGGATGGGAAAGGACTTTTCTAGAAATGGCAAGGTATTCTTCACAGATGAGAGTTGGATTCCAGCTAGTCCTCCATTAAACTCTTTTGGTTTAAGTACCTTGTTGTGAGTGGTCCTGTGGGTCTACTGTATCTCAAGACAAGAGAATGAATGGCAGAAATGGCAACAAGTGCCAATAGATAGGTTGGGTTTGATGAAGGGATGTCTAATGGTCTCATGGGTAATACTGGGCAAGTCAGGGTCCCAGAAGAAAATGACACCCCCAAGCCTCCTTGAGTAGTTGGCAAAGGAGATGCTTAGAATGTTGTAGCACAGAGAGAGACAACACAGGTTTCGACAACAGAAATGTGTTTGCTCACAGTCTGAACACCGGAAGTCCGAGATGATATGTCAGCAGGTAATGCCAAGGTCTCCTCTCTCCACTGGCCATCTTCTCCCTGTCTTCACGTGACCCTCTTCCTCTAGGTCCTGTTGGACCATTCCAATGGCTCACTTAACCCCATTCATCTCTGTCTCCAAATGCAGGCTCATTCTAAGACACTGGGAGTTGGGAGTTCAGCATGCGGATCTGTAGGGGGCATGGTTCAACCAGTAACACATGCTGTGGGCAGGATTAGGAGACTCGAGATAGGATGCTATTGAGGGGGCAGCGGTGAGACCCTTTATCATCCTTTGGGCCAAAGAGACCAAGGGAGAAGGGAGATTAGAAGTCTTGGAATCCAGCTTCTGCTGTGGCCTTGGAAGAGAGGCTGGCAGACAGGATGTGTTCGAGGTGCAGAGGAATGCAGGGAAGGAGGCGGCCGATACTCAATCTTCTCTCTTAACACCCTTCCACCCTCCTGGCAAACCCCATCTGAAAGTAGAGGCAAAGATCCTTGTGGTTCAGCCCTTAGCTGCCAGCCTCCTGAGGCAAGAGAGCAGAGTTGGCAAGGCTGAGCAGAAAGTCTGGGTAGGTCGATGGAAAATAGCCAGTACCATGGAGGAAAAGAATACAGGTCTGGGACCAGTGAGATCTCAGCCGGTGAAAGCATTTCCTGTACAAGCCTCATGACCTAAGTTCAGTCCTTGGAACCCACGGTGGAAGGAGAGAACTGACTCTTAAAAGGTGTCCTCTGGCCTCCGCACACATCAGCCCCCTACCCGCCACCAACCCAACAATAGAATACATGTCTGGAGAAGTTACAATTGGCATCTAAGCAATTTAAAAGAGCTTTGGAGTAACTAAAAAATGAAACAAAGTTGCTTAGCCACAAAGACTTGAGTGCTACTGTAACAGGCCCCCAGCCCTTAACACAACCACGCCATGTTAAAGGCACCATTCCCATCTTAAAACCCAGCACACAGCCCCCCCCCATGCCTGCCGCCATGGAAACAAAGACCTAATCCATCCAAGACCTAGTTCATAGTTCCAGAAAAGTCCTTAAATGTGCTGACCTTGATTTCTGGCTTCTGTAGTTCTGCTTCTCACTAACTGAAGTGTGACAACCAGGACGTGGTTTTTTTGCATGAAAGACAAAAAGAGCTGTTAAAGCTCAGGGCTACATGATTTGGGCAAGTTCCCTATGCAGCCGCCAGCCAGCAATAATGACTTTCTTTTTTGGCTTTACGAGTGTCCGTGTGGTCATCTCTGGTGGACTTACCTCACAACACTGCCTTCTACAGTAAAACCACCTACCCATGTGCCCATCTCAGTGTCCTAGAAACTGCTGTTCTGGGATGCAAAGTTACCTAAGGAAGACAAAACAGAAAAACAGGGTTTGCTGTTGAGTTGAGTATGAAGTAGCCCTCCAAGAGGCTCATGCACTGACCGTGTGGTCCTCAGGTGGGAAGTGATTGCATCATTAGGGTCTGACGTCCTGGGTGAGTTAATTCATTGAGGAGTTTATACCAAATGTGCTTTTAGGAGGTGGGGACCGGTTGGAGGGAGTAGGTCCCAGAGGTCGTACTTTGAAGGGTCCGTCTTGTCCTTGGCCCCTTCCTGTCCTGCTCTCTGCCCTGTTTGCTACAAGGGGAGCAGCTTCGGCTTTCCCCATGCTATTCTCCCTTGCCATGCATGGGCCCAGAATCAGGGCAGCCAAGTGGCCAGGGACTGGAACCCTGATGCCAGCAGTCAAAATAAGCCCTTCCTCTGTAAGCTGTTTATTTTAGATGTGTTGTGCAGAATTGAAGGGAATGGCAAACACGGCCATCCATTGTGATGCCAGACAATTCTTTACACACACACACACACACACACACACACACACGCACACGCACACGCACACGCACACGCACACGCACACATGATTTAGAACACGATTTAAAACACGATTTGACCCAGACTGATGGTACAGAATGAAGTGGTGTGTGGTGTGTGTCCCAATGATGGGTAGGGACTTGCGGGGTGGTGGTGGCTCACACCTTTAATCCCAGCACTCAGGAGGCAGAGTCAGGCGGATCTCTGTGAGTTCAAGGCCAGCCTGGTCTACAGAGTGAGATCCAGGACAGGCACCAAAACTACACAGAGAAACCCTATCTCAAAACAACAACAACAACAACAAACAAACAAACAAACAATCACCTCATTTGTGCCACCTAGGGTGCCACGAAAGCATCATTCCACATTGAGATCTTGTGTCTCTCCCCTAGGAAAAGTGTCCTCTTCCTGGATCCTGTGTCCTCATGGTCAGCCCCCAGCAGCCATGAGCAGATGGAGACGCTGCGTGGTCTGCAGCTGCGCCTGCCTCTCTCTTTTTCCCAGGGAACCTTTTAATCGTGACAGAAGCCAGTTAGACTCTGGGCCTGTTTGAATGGGCCAGGCTGGAGTCTGCCGCTATTCCCTTCTGGAATATGAACCAGAATTGTCTGGACCGAGAACTATCAAGGTGAAGAAGGGCTTACCTATACCAGCCACTGCATGTTGTCTGTGGCTATCTTTCAGCCATTTATTCCCGCCTGTCAACTACCCCAGACTTACTACAGTGAGCGGTTGATTATTTTCTTCATGAACCTGAAGTTTGGGCAGGGCTCTGTGTGGAGAACTTGCCTCTGCTCCCTTACGAAGCCCTTGGCCCTCCCAATAGAGGCGTGAAAGATCTGTTTCCAAGATGGCGGAGGGCGCTGGCTGCCAATTTGGTGTGGGCCGTCTACTAGGGGCCCCGTGAGGGCTGAAGGCAGATCCTTTGTTCTCTTCACAGGGCCTGGGGTTCTGGAGCATGGGGGTGAGCCAGGTGGGCCTGAGTCACCTTTGAGGTTCCAGTCACGGAGGTTCATAGTCTCACTTCTGTTTAGTTGGCCAGACGGTTGTTCCATTTTGGAAAAGGGGACACAGACTCTGGGGGGGGGGGTTGGCAAGGCTCTGGACGAACATACTGGCTTCTAGGACACCCACAAACACCACAATGGACCTTGTAGAGGTGTCCTATGTGCAAAGAACCCACTGTTTTCATATGCAATATTCCAAATAGCCCCCCCATTTATTTCTGTTGTTCTACCTGTATTTGAGACAGTCTCATGTATCCCAGGCTGGCCTTGAACTTACTATGTAGCTGAGGATGATCTTGAACTACTGATCTTTCTATCTCCACCTCTTGATGCTGAAATTACTGGCGTGGTGGACTACCACGATCAGTTTGTGAGACACTGGGATCAAACCCAGAGCTTTGTGAGTACTGGCTAAGCACTCTACCAATTTCTTAAAGTCCCTTGCTCCTCCCACTTATTATCTCTGTAGGTACTGGGGATTGAACCCAAGATCTCATACACAAGCTGGGACCAGGGAGCTATGTCCCCAGCCTTTCCCATACATTAAATCATTTCTAAATGACTGTAATTCCTAACACAATGTGAGTAGTTGTTATACTGTGGTCTTTGTATGGTGATTAAAAAGGACAGCAAGGATGCTCAATACGGATACAACCATGGCTGCATGCTACATGTGTGTCAGTAATATTGTGATAACTTTTCCTAGCATTTGTGTGTGTGTGTGTGTGTGTGTGTGTGTGTGTGTGTGTGGTTGGTAGAGCCTGAGAACGCAGAACCTGTAGATGCAGGTTGTGATTGTAAGAAATAAACCTGTTCGTTCTTAGGCTAAGGAGCCCAAGAAGCTGAGGAGATGAGAGAGCAGCCGTTGCAATGCAGGGCTCCTTGAACAGAGGGCCTTGAACAGAGCTCGAAGAGAGGACAAATAAACCACTCTGCGAGGAGCTGCAGAAGGGATGCCCAAGCAGAAAGCCAGGGGCCCGATCAATAGAAGGGGCGGTGGGGGATATGCCAGGGGGATCGTTTCTGAGCTAGAAACGAGACAATGGAATAGCCAGAGACCCGGGGCGAAACCAGGCGGTCAGTCACCGTGGTGTGCCCAGGCCTGTCTCGGCTTTGGTACTCAAGGCCCACATCCAAGGGGCTGGGATATGTAGCTTAGTGTGAGCAAGTGTGAGCCCTGGGTATGATTGCCAGCACCTCCAGAGCAAAGGGAAGGAGGAAGGGGGAAGGAACGGAGAAGGAGAGGAAGAAGGAAAGGAGTCGGGGGCGGGGGGTATAAAGGAGGATAAGGAGGAGATGAAGAAAAGGCTGGGGAAGAAGAGGAGGAGGAGAGGGGGGAGAAGAGAAAGAGGAGGAAAAGAAGGAAAAGGAGGAGGAAATGAAAAAACAAAGAAACAAAAACCGGAAGCATTTCCAGGAACCCCTCAGTCACCATGGGTCATTCTGGAGACTGGACCGTCCGTGAAGGCAGGAGCCCACCGGAATTGGTCTCAGCAGCCATGAGGTTGGGGAGAGAGCTGGAAAATTAGTCAAGGGTCCAAACAGGAAACTGAGCCCTGCCAGGAAGCCAAGGCGTCACCCTAGGTACTGAATCGATAAGGAATAAATAGGAAAGTGACCTGGGGAGACTTTGCGTGTTGAGGGCTCTGGTACCTGGGTACCTGGGGAGAGGCGCCGGGCGGAAGACTGCCCGTCCCAGAGCCCCTGCCTGTCTCCAGAGAGGACGGTGAGGAGCTGAACTGCAGTGGTGGGAGGGAACCAGAGGAGACAGACTCGGCAACAGCCGGACTTAGAGATACAAAGGTTGGTGAGAGAGACTCTCTGTGCCTGGCATGGGCGATTGGAAAAGTCTGGGGAAGTAATGAGGGTGGTTTGGAAAGGCCTTCCCACACCACCCTGCCCTGGAATGCAAACAAACAGTTCCTTCCCCTGCTGCCTGTGTTGCTTTGACCGGCCTGGTGCTGGGCATGCAACATTGTTGGACATTCCAGGGACAAGGGAAGCCTGTGAGAACTCCAGGGTAAGCGGGAGGTTCTTCTGGGGCCTGAGGGGGAAGCTACAGACTTCAGAAGCCACTTGCCTACTCACCCCTTGTAGCTTCCACAAGACCCTTAGCGAGCGGGAGGGAGGCAGGGAGGGAGGGAAGGGCTGGCGCCCTCACGTCACAGAGGGGAAATTTAGGATGGAGGAGCACGACCAAGCAATGACTGAATCAGCAGGCTTGGGATGGGACTACCATGGGTTTGACTCCAAAGGACGGCTCTCCCACCGCACAGTCGCCCCGGAGCCACAAGCACCTCCTTGAGTGGATATGTCCTCACTTCTCCTGTCGTGGCTCCGGTCCATCCTCATTCTGTATTTGCGCTGGAAAGAGGGTCTTTCTAGAATAGAGAGTGAGTGGAGAAGATGCTAGCAGGAGACGGGAAGGTTAGGGGTGGTGTTCCCATGGGCTCCCGGAGAGCCGCTGAAGGCTGCTGGCAAGCATGGAATTAGCTGGGCATGGAGGTGCACGCCTTTAATCCAAGAACTTGGGAGGCAGAGGCGGGTAGATCTCTGTGAGTTTGAGGCCAGCCGGGTCTACATGGCTGAGTTCTAGGCCAGTCAGAGATGCATAGTGAGACCCTGTCTCAAACAAAACGACAACAACGAAAATAAAACAAACAAAAGAATGGAATTGTCAGATCATTTCTTCTTCTTCCTTCTCCTCTTTTTCATACTTTAAAATATCCTAGTTATGGGTCTGTGCAGGGGGATTGTTGTAAGAAGGCCAGCTCTGGACTACATAGTAAGACTGTCTTAAAGAGACAGAAAAAAAAAAGTAAAAAAATAAATAAATAAAATAAAATATAAAAAACCAACGATGAAACTGGAGCTGGGCATCATCTCAAGTATCTTAACCAGACACATTTCCATTCCCACACGGACCTTGATGTCTGTCCTTTCCAGTTTTGATTCGTCTGTTTGTGACATTCCGACCATTTCTCTTCGTCCATCTTCTACTGTTCGAATTACTGTAGGGGCCTCATCTTTTCACCCTCTGGGATGGGAGTCCTTCACAGGACCCAAGATTCACTCCCTATTTCCACATTTCTTTTTACCAAGCAGGCACATGATCGGGTGTTTACGGTGATGCTGTCATCAGAAGATCAGGGGAAGTTGAGAAATTCGCGGTTCTCAGCTGGCTTCTTTAGTCTCGGGCTCCAACAGAGAATGGACGCTAGAGGGCGCTCCTTCCCCTCTCTTCCATCCCTCGTTTGCGCACTTTACACCAGCATCCAAGAAAGAGGTTTTTCAGAGTTTTGACTACGTATGCCAGCACCTACAAAAAATGCTCATTGATTCACTTCAAGTCTTTTTTTTTTTTTTTTTTTTTGGTTTCTCGAGACAGGGTTTCTCTGTGTAGCTTTGCGCCTTTCCTGGAACTCGCTTTGGAGACCAGGCTGGCCTCGAACTCACCGAGTTTGCCTCCCGAGTGCTGGGAATAAAGGCGTGCGCCACCACCGCCCGGCCAGATCCTATAATTCTAGGGGCAGACGGGCACGGGTGAGACAATCCAATGTGACCTAAGCTGCCGCCAGACTCCCTATGATGCTGAGGCTGGCCTTGAACTGACCACCCTGCCTCTAACATCCCAAATTCTGGGATTTCAGAGGTGTGCCACCACACTCAGTGACAGGCTATCCTTTATCATTCCCTGATGAATACTATTTGTTCCTCTCCTTTCTTTACAGCAAGATGTTTTCTTGTGAGTCAGTCCGTTAGCTTCCTGTTGCGTGCATCAGCGTCTACCCTCCGTAACTAGGAAACCTGACCTCAGCCTTCACTGCGGGGAAGCCACCCTCTTACAGCTAGCGAGCATAATTTCCTCTCAGGGGTCTCCTTTGGCCACCTCCAATGGCCTCTCCTCCACTTACGTCCTCTTTGATCTCCCCGCAGCATCTGCTGTTGCTGAGTCAGAAGCCATGTCTTGCTCCATCGGCCCCTTTGGTTTCCACCTGTGCACCACGGAGGGTTCTAAGCCAGATTCCTCTCCCATCATGCCGCTGGGGACTTGCCCTTGATCCATAGGGACCCTCTGCTTCCTCTATGGGCTCTCCTTTGCCTTCTGTTGGCTCTGAGAGGCTTCGATGATTCCCAGGTCCAGCTCCAGCGTTCACCCTCTCCTCACTTCCCGCCCCCCAGACCAGTCGTGTCCACCCTGGGATGTGCAGTCATGACCTCCAACTCGGCAATCAGGGATCTTCAGGGACCTTAATTTCTTTCTATGTCCCATTTTGTGTGTGTGTGTGTGTGTGTGTGTGTGTGTGTGTGTGTGTTGCATGTGAATGTATGCATGTTTCTTTACTTATGTGTAGGTTAATGTGCATGTGTGTGTGAACACACCTGTGAAGGCCCAGGGTTGAAGTCAGAAGTCATCCTCAACTTCTTCCTCTTTATTCATTGAGATAGGGT